TAGTTCCACAACATAATTTTATGTTGTGTCTATATATATATATATATATATATATATTTTTTTTTTTTTTTTTGAATGCTACTAGCTCTATTACATTGTAGTATCTGTTCATATACTTTCTCAACCTACTGAAACACAGAGAGCTAATAACGCCTCCACTGAGGCTCGAACTTACAACCTTCCAAATGGAAGTCCAACCCGAATACCATTAGACCACACAGTCCTGGTATATATATATATATATATATATATATATATATATATATATATATGTTATCTAATCTTTTTATTAATAGAATCTATTAATTTCCATCCTCAAAAGCATCAAAAGATGATTCATATTCCTTTTAAATTAATTCATTAATTAAATCAGCTAACCAAATTACTAATCTAACCTTACTATAGATAATAACTGAAAATATTTCTTTTAATCTCAACCATAGATGAGAATCTAATCAATGGGTATTATTAGGCCTCATAGACTCATCTATTAGAGGGGGTGCACCAGATCCAAAGCCATATATATATATATATATATATATATATATATATATATATATATATATATATATATATATATATATATTTCTGGCCTAAGGCTAATTGGCTAACCCATTGTTGTAACCCAATACCTAAGATTCATTAAACCTATAAATATTGGCTATTTTTTTTCCACAAATATTGTTGTTGCTTTTTTATAGTAAAGATTATTGACATTCATAACTCAATTATATATATATTTTTTTGAATGTCATAACTCAATTATATGAATGTAATTATGTAAATAATAACTGATAGTTATAGTTCAATCAAAATTTATATCTCTTAGTGTTAAAGAGATGAATTCAAGACATATTACAACTACTATTATATTGATTTTTTTTATTATTTTATTTTTTTGAAAACCAAAGAACTTTCACTATTAAAACAAATGTTCAATACAACCAGGAATAGTATTAAGCCAAATTAAAAAATCAGAATTAGAACGAGCTGCTCTTGCCAAGGCATGAACGACCTTATTCACTGATCTTGAGATAAATTTGATGGACACATGATCATAGTGTCGTTGGAGCTTTCGGCATTTGTTAATGACGCAACCTGTAAACGATAAATCCGGTAACGAACCCTTGAGTAAATTGCACACCTGCTGACAATCGGAAAATAAAATAATCTTCAAATATCCACACTCCTTTACCCATGTTAAGGCTTCTTTAATGGCCATGGCTTCCGCTAAATGGGCATCACTCAAACTTCTAACCAGACCATTTTTTGCACCAAGAAAACCACCATTGCGGTCCTGAACAACAACACCAAAAGTGGCTTGTTGAGAATCATGGAAGACTGCTGCATCGACATAAACGGAAACCATACCTTCTGGGATCGTATTTTGATTCATGCTAGGAGGCTGAATTTGCATATTGGCAGAGGGAGTCACTGATATGGTCAGCCATTCATGTACATAGCGCTGCACCTCACAAACCAATTTTGCATGCTGCCAATCTTTCTGATTCCAAACCACATTGTTTCGCATCAACCATATGGACCAACATAATGCAATACATTTAAGGTTGGTTTGCCCTCCACTCATTGTTAGCTTCCCTGATAACCATTGAAGGAAATCTTCATCAGTGGTAGGAGGAACATAATCAGCAATAGAAACCCAAGTTGGAGCAGTGTAGGGGCACTCACAAAAAAGATGGCGAATAGTCTCTGGGTGCTGCTTACAAATCGGGCATAAAATGTCTACCTCCACTCTTTTATTTGCTAGTGTAGTCATAGTTGGTAGGATACTATGAAAGCATCTCCACAAAAAATTCTGCACATGAGGAGGAATCATGAGTTTCCAAATAGTACTCCAATTACTTGAAGGATTCACAACCCCATTTGCATGGGAACCTGACAACAGTTTATACCCATGTTTAACAGAATAAACACCCCTTATATCCCCTTTCCAACTCCATGCATCATCATAATCACATGCAATTGGAATTTTCAAAATTGCATCCATATCTCTCTGTTGGAAAATATTAGTAACAAGCATAGTGTTCCAATCTTTCAAGACAGGATCAATGAGATCACTAACCTTCATGTTAGTCCCCGGTGGCAATGGTGTATGAATGTATGGGTCGTCTTTATTTGGTAACCATGGCTGATTCCACACTGTTGTATTTCGGCCATTCCCTATCCTTCGAATACAACCTTGTCTCAACAAATTCTGCCCTGCAAGAATAGACCTCCAACAGTAACTCGGGTTAGCTCCAATTGTTGCCTCAAGAAAATCAACCTGAGGGAAGTATCTAGCCTTGTAGAGTTGTGCAGCAAGAGAGTCCCGCTGGGTGAGAAAACGCCACCCTTGTTTGGCTAACAGGGCCACATTAAACCTGCTCAGATTCTTGAAATTCATGCCACCATTTAATTTTGGGGCACTTAATTTTGTCCAGGCCATCCATCTAATTCCACCACCACTTCCTCCTCTTGTAGACCACCAATATTTATTCATAATTCTTTTAATGCGCTCACAGAAAGTAACCAGGAGGAAATATAAACTCATAGTATAGGTGGGAAGTGCCTGTGCAACACTTTTAAGAAGAATTTCCTTCCCTGCCTTTAACAACATTTTTCTGTTCCAACCATTCAACCCGTGAATTAATTTCGTCTCAATATAGGAAAAAACTTCTTTCTTATTTCAACCAACCCCCATAGGCAAACCCAGATATTTTCCTATATTGTCAGATTGAATAACGTTGAAAACTGCCGCCACCGCCTCTTTTCTTTCTGCCCCCGTGTTTCTGCTAAAAACAATACAAGACTTGTTGAAATTAACAGATTATCTTGACATTCTTTCATAAGTCATTAAACAATTTTTCACCGCAACAACCTCAGAAATGATGGCTTTAAAAAATAAGAGACTGTCATTTGCGAAAAATAGATGAGAGACTCCAGGTGCACTTCTAGCCACAGTACAAGGCATTATATCCTTCTTTCGGGTAGCCATGGTAATAAGATGAGACAAATACATAATACATATTCAATTTATGTATATATGCTATGAAAAATATGAGCAAGAATATTATTATTGCGCAAATCTTCTATTTTGAAACTAATTATAGAAAGAGCAAATTTATATGGAGTATTATTTATTGTCATTTGATTCGTAAATAATATTGAATCATTTTTCATGACATTTATTTAATTTCATAATCAAACAGATATCTTCTTCTTCTTTTTTTTTTTTTTTTTTGAAAATAATCAAACAGATATCTGTTTCGATTATTATTATTATTTATATTTATTCCATACAAGCAATTTAAATATATCATATTTTTGCATTAGAAATTGATATTACTACTATATAATATGATTCTTTTAAAAAAAAAAAAATACAAATACTAATTATTTACTTCATTGTTTCTAAAAATAATAAAATTGAACAACCAATAGAGAACAAAAATTTCCCTACAAGCAATGCTGACTTTGGAATATCCCGTAAAAAAACACCGTTTTATATATACGAGATTTTTTTTTTTCTTTTGTTCAAAATTATATGGTTATGACACATTTTTTCTTGAGTTATTCATGTAAGCACATTAGCCCCCTCAATTATTTTAAAAGTGATGGTTTCCCCCCTTGATATATTAAATTGACATTTATACTCTTAAAGTAAACATTTTATTTATTTTTCTTCTCCATCAAATTATTGCTTATACGTAGGGACGATCACGGTTCGATTCGAACTGAACCAGACACTATAGCAATTGAATTGAAAGTTTCCGGTTATGATTTAGATCCAGAACCCAATACTTAGATTTCAGTTTATTAAAATTATGAATCGAAAGAATTGGATCCCGAACTGTGAACCGTCTTTATTTTAAAATTTTATTTTTTTTAATTTTAAAAATAGTCTAAATTCAACAATAAATGTATTTTTTTTTTGTTCAAAACAGGAACCGATCGTTCCGATTTGTGATTTTAATAAACTCTAAATATCAGATTTCGATTCTAAATTGTAATTGGAATATTTAAGTTTATTTGCTATAGTGTCGGTTCGGTTTGAACCGAATCGTGGTCAATTTATTTTAAGGGTAAAAATGTCTATTTAACATTTTAGGGAGTGATGGGGTGAGGACCTCGGCCCAAGAAGAGGGGCCCACGAGAGAGGAGCCCAAGAAGAGGGGCCCACGAGAGAGGAGCCCAAGAAGAGGAAAAGCCCAAGATAGAAGACGAGGGTCAGTAATAGAAGAAGCCCGATGAGGGCCTGGGCCGAGTCCAGGAGTCGGTCCGGGCCCAAGTAAAGGAGGAGACTCGGCCCAGAGGCCATTAAGAAGCCTTCAAGTCGGTTTAAGAGCCGTTGAAGGAACACCCAATGCAGCATTCAAGAGGACTCGGTCAAAAGGGCCGTTAAAAGACCACAGAGCCGTTGGGCGACTCGGTAACAGCGACCGAACGGTCTGATAGTATAGATAGCCTTAAAAGCAATGATTAATGTACTTCAATTTGAATAGAAGGGAGCCTGCTAAATAAAGGCCCCCTCCACACTTGCAAAAGGGGAGTCCATGCCTAGAGAGTAAGATAGACCCACACTTTCTAATCATCCGACTACTCATCTTTGCGATCACTTTTTTGAAATGTGAATCCACCAACCAAAGGTTGTGTTGGACCTCCTTGGGCCCGAAAACCCAAAAACCAACACTGGCGCCGTCTGTGGGGATCGATACAAAGAGCTACGTGACTCTCTGAGCAGGGCGAGTCCCGAAGTCGAACGAAAGAGCGTCATGAACATATTGGAAGGACGAGACCAAGCAAACAACCGAAACAACGGGATAGAGGCGGATCTAAGAGACCAGTTGAACCAACGAAATGCTCAAAGTCAAGGAAATGAAACGGCACCGGTGAACCGGCAGCCGCCTATGATACCCCTCACCCCGGAACAACTCCACGCGATCGGATGAGCCTTCGCCGACGCGAGTCGAGGAGTGAGGGAACAGTCGGTTTCTCGGCCAATGCCTCGCCATCAACAACTGTCCCAGAGGCCGGAAGACGGACAGGAAAATCGACGGGCAGAGAGCCAGCCAGTACGATCAGTCCACTCAAGGCTGGGTCCGAATGCTGGGCGGCAGCCTGCACGAGAACAACTAGGAGAAAGGGAGCCCAGCCGCGCACCAGCAGGACCCCGAGATCGGGAAACCGGTCGAGAAAGAGCTCGCACCAGAAGAACTAAGACTCGGACACGTCGGACCGAGCGAGTAACGCGTAACGATGACCGACCGGCCCAATCTGAGGTCGGCGAAAGTACGGAGTCCACAGGAAACCACACTCACAATGAAGGCGACGTGGCCCAATTGGACCGGGAGGTACGAGATCTGAAAGAACAAATGGGGGGAAAGACCAAATCCCCCGGGCAGGCGTTGCTCACCGCTTTGCCATTCTCTTCCAAGATCATGTCCTACAAAATACCCAGCGACTTCAAATTTTCGGAACAAGCCACCTTCGACGGATCTGGAGACCCACGCGAGCATCTGCTTAGCTATCAGGCCAAAATGCAGGTCTTGGGAGTGCGAGACCCGGTGATGTGTCGCGCCTTCTTGCCCACGCTGAAAGGCTCGGCACAAAGGTGGTTAGTGGCGCTGCCTCCTAAGTCAATTCACAGTTTCGAGGAGTTAGCCAACCGTTTCATGAGCCATTATGCGGCCAACATCAAGCATCAGAAGGATCTGACCCACCTGGGAGATGTCCACCAAGAGGAAGGCGAGTCCCTGAAAGCCTACTTGGTCCGCTGGCAAAAGGAGATCCAGTCTATCGAGGAGGTCGAAGATCAGACCGCACTCACTTTTTTCATCGAATCTTTACGATCCGGGCAGTTGTATCGGGATCTGCAGGATAACCGCCCGACTACTTACGTGGAAGCCATACACATAGCCAATAAAAGGGCTAACACGGAGCAGGTCATGAAGCATAAGCGACAACGTGAAATCGGAGGATCCACCGGCGGAAAGAGGACCCGCGCGGAAACCAAGGAAAAGCGCCCGGAAGGGGCTCGGCGACTTGAGGTTAGACGTCCCTATGACAAGCCTATGATCCATCCCTACAGAGCAGTTCCTCAGCACCCGGTGCACGAGGTTCAAGCGGTCGCTCCGCCTCCGCCCCTGCCGATCGACGAGCGTATGGCAGGTGAAGAGACAGGTAAGAACTCTAAATACTGCCGCTATCATAAGTCTTACACCCATAGTACGGAAGAGTGCTTCTATTTGAAAAAGGTCATGGAGGGAATTATCCAGCAAGGGACCCCGCCTCCTAATCAGTGGAGGCGAAGGTCAATAGCACGAGAGGACGATGATCCCGCGGTCGCCGCCGAGAATAGCCGCGGAAAGCGGTCGGCCACAGAGGAGGACGAGGCCCAGTGGCGTCAGAAGCCAGTTATTAACATGATAGTCGGCGGACCAGAGGGCGGCGACTCGGCAAATACCAGAAAGGTCTGGGCTCGACAACTATACGTCGGAACAGTATATGGGCGAGAAGAAAGCTCGAAGAAAGTGTGCCGAGAACCGATCACATTTACTGACAAAGATTTGCCCACGGGAGAGACACCGCATCGAGATGCGCTGGTCATAGCGATGGACGTAAACGGAGTGGTCGTTCGGCGAATCTTGGTCGACACCGGAAGTAGCGTCAACGTACTATACCTCGAGACTTTCACAAAGATGGGGTTGACTCGAGAACAGCTGAATCCGGTCAAAACACCGCTCGCCGGTTTCACGGGAGACTCGGTGGAGGCAGAGGGGTCCATCACCCTGCCAGTGGAAGTCGGCAGCTATCCCGACGTGCAGCAGCTCAGCATGAAATTCATCGTGGTAAACATAGTTTGCTCACACAATGCTATACTCGGCCGACCAGGCCTGGAGGACTTGGGAGCATTGATTTCCATCGAGCATCTTTGCTTGAAATTTCGCACGCCAAACGGGATAGGAACGGTGCGTTGTGATAGAAGAGTCGCCCGCGACTGCTACCTACAAGCCTATAGGGGGATCGGCAAACGAGGAATGCAAGTCCACGAAATCACGGAAAAGCCCCCAAAGAAAGCAATGATACCCCGCCCGGAACCGGCCGTGGAATTGGAAGAAATCGAAATCGACCCTGAACGGCCGGACAGACGGGTCAGAATTGGTGTCGGCCTCCCCGAGGAAACTCGGGAGGAAATTATCCAAGTACTCCGAAAGCATCGACTGGTCTTTGCTTGGGGGGCCGGAGGATATGCCAGGCGTCAACAAGTCCATCATCGCCCACCAACTCGCCGTGGATCCGGACCATCGGTCGGTCGTACAGAAAAAGCGGTATCTCGCCAATGACCGAAGGGAATTCGTAAAGAAAGAGGTGGGCACGCTGCTAGCCGCGGGCCACATCCGAGAGGTTAAATACCCGGAGTGGTTGGCGAACGTGGTCCTCGTACCGAAACCCCCAGCATGGCGGATGTGCGTGGATTACACTGATCTTAACAAAGCCTGCCCGAAGGATCCGTTCCCCTTGCCACGGATTGACCAGCTGGTCGACGAGACGGCGGGGTCGACCCTGCTGAGCTTTATGGATGCCTTTAGGGGATATCATCAGATTTTCATGCATCCGGCCGACGAGGCTAAGAACGTTCGGATGACCCAGTATAAGGAGAAGGCGATAGAAATGCTGAAAGAGTTCGGAACATATGAAATAGAGCATATCTCCCGGGTGGACAACATCGAGGCCGACATATTATCGAAAATCGCCTTAGAAGGAATACCGGATCACCTCGCCAAGATTTGCCAAAAGGAGGAGTTAAGTCGTCCGAGTATAGAAGAAATACCATGGGAGGTCCAACAGGTAAATGTCGAGGAATGGGATCGAGAGAGAAACCCCGAGATGTTCTGGATAGAAGACATCCGGCGGTTTAAGGAAACAGGCGAATTACTAGAGGATCCAGGAGTCGCTGCAAGGATTCGACGAAAAGCCCCTTCATTCCAGATCATTGACGGACAGATGTACAAGCAGTCGTTCGGGGGTCTCTTTAAATGCCTACTCCGGCCCGAAGCCGAGAGGATAATGGATGAGGCGCACCGAGGGATTTGCGCCGCCCATCAGGGGGCCCACACGCTCGCCCAAAAGCTAGTCGTCCAGGGGTATTATTGGCCGACCATGATGAGAGATTGCGTAGAATGGATAGCCAGGTGTAACATTTGCCAAGCCTTCGCCCGGAAGGACAGTCGGCCGGCCACCTTCTACACGCCGGTCACCACGGTCATCCCTTTTGCTAAATGGGGAATCGACTTGTTAGGACCACTACTAGTCGCCCCGGGAAGCTTGAAATTTTGTGTAGTGGCCATCGATTACTTCACTAAATGGGTCGAGGCCGAGCCGCTGGCCACCATCACCGAGTACCAATGTCGACGCTTCCTGTGGAAGAAGGTGATTTGCTGTTTCGGCCTGCCCGAGCACGTAGTTAGCGATAACGGCAAGCAGTTTGACTGCCAAGCTTTCGCCGACTTCTGTCGCCGGCATAGTATACGACACACCAAGGTATCCGTCGCGTACCCCCAGGCCAACGGACAAGTCGAGAATGTGAACCAGACCATAGGGGACGGGATTCGAAAAAAGTTGGAGGACATCGGGGGAACTTGGGCGGATGAGCTCGACCGGGTCCTCTGGGCCTACCAAACTACACAAAGACAGGCGACTGGAGAGAGCCCCTTTTCCTTAGCATACGGCTTTGAAGCCAAGGTCCCGGTAGAGGTCGTTGAGCCCACCTACCGAGTCCGCAGTTATTCCGACGAAGATAACGAAGAAAGCCTTAGAATTGAAAAGAACTTCCTAGAAGAAAGAAGGGAAGTGGCGTGCGCCCGGATGGTTGAGTACCAACAAGTCGTAAAGAGGTATCGCGACTGGAGGATTCGCCCACGAGCCTTCCAGGTTGGCGACCTCGTGTTGCGGGATCGACAGGCAAGCCAGCCCACAGAAGGGGGCAAATTTGCGATTAAGTGGGAAGGACCTTATCACATTGCTTCAGTGGTGCAGGCCGGTACCTACAAGCTCGAGACCCTAGAAGGAAAACCCATATGCCGACTCTGGAACGTCATCCATTTGAAGAAATTCTACCAATAAAAGGTTAGACATGTACTCGAGTTTTCGAATCTAATAAGAAGACACCTTTTATCCTCGATCATTTCCCTCCACTCGGTGAGAAAAGATAGGAAACAAGGGCCCAGACCCTTAGTCGTTTCCGAGGAAAAGCCAAAAGGAGTCGCCTCGACTGAGGGACTCGGCGAGTATATAAAGAAACAACGGGGCACTGACCCTAAATCGTTTCTAAGAAAAGAAAAAGCCTAAGGAGTCGCCTCGACTGAGGGACTCAACGAGAAAAGATAGGAAACAAGGGCCCAGACCCTTAGTCGTTTCCGAGAAAAAGCAAAAAGGAGTCGCCTCGACTGAGGGACTCGGCGAGAAAAGATAGGAAACAAGGGCCCAAACCCTTAGTCGTTTCCGAGGAAAAACCAAAAGGAGTCACCTCGACTGAGGGACTCGGCGAGTATATAAAGAAACAACGGGGCACTGACCCTAAATTGTTTCTAAGAATAGAAAAATCCTAAGGAGTCGCCTCGACTGAGGGACTCGGCGAGAAAAGATAGGAAACAAGGGCCCAGACCCTTAGTCGTTTCCGAGGAAAAGCCAAAAGGAGTCGCCTCGACTGAGGGACTCGGCGAGTATATAAAGAAACAATGGGGCACTGACCCTAAACCGTTTCTAAGAAAAGAAAAAGCCTAAGGAGTCGCCTCGACTGAGGGACTCGGCAAGAAAAGATAGGAAACAAGGGCCCAGACCCTTAGTCGTTTCCGAGAAAAAGCCAAAAGGAGTCTCCTCGACTGAGGGACTTGGCGAGTATATAAAGAAACAACGGGGCACTGACCCTAAACCGTTTCTAAGTAAAGAAAAAGCCTAAGGAGTCGCCTCGACTGAGGAACTCGGCGAGAAAAGATAGAAAACAAGGGTCCAGACCCTTAGTCGTTTCCGAGAAAAAGCCAAAAGAAGTCGCCTCGACTGAGGGACTCGACGAATATATTGAAAAACAACGGGGCACTGACCTCAAGTCGTTTCTAAGGAAAAAGAAAAGTTTGCAGATTCGCCTCAACTGAGGAACTCGGCACAAACAGATGGAGAACCAGATCCTTGATCATGGAAGTTTAACAAAGCGGAAGAGCTCAGGGCCTTGAATTATGCCTGGGGAACCCAAAAGAAGAAAAGAGATAGAGGCAGTCGAAAGGAGCAAAGAAGACTTCATTAATAAAAAGGCTCGAGAAGGGGTGGGGAGGGGCAGCCCATACAAAAGAAGGCTACCAAATGGAAAACCCTAAACTACGGGGGAGGGGGTGTCAACATCAACTTCCTCGGCTTGAGCTTCCGCCGATGGTCTAGCAGGAAGAACGAGTGAGGAGTCTTCTGCCTGAGGAGGTGGCTCTGCAAGCTCTGAAGGCTCCGCCACAGGGAGAGCTGCCGGATCTGCAGTCGATGCGGGCTCTGCAGTCGCCGGCAGAAGGTCCAGCACTGGCTTGAGGCCCCAGCTCTCGGGAGTGAAGGCGGAATCTCGGGCCAGCAAGGCGGCATGGATCCCCATCTGAGCCTCGCGGAAACCTAGGCGATAGTCGCGCTCACCCAAGTCAAGGAGATAGTCATCTCCTTCCGGCGTCGCTAGCCACTCCTGGGCAATCTCCTTCTGCCGAGCCGCCACCGCCGCCTTCACGTCCGCCTCGAAGGCTGCCGACTTCTTGTAATCCTCCACCGAAGTTGCAGCGATGGTCGCGACCTTGTCCCGCTCCTCCTCCCACTGACGAGTGACCCTCAGCAGCTCGGAGGTGTGCACCTCCACCGACTTGGCATGCTTAGCCTGCTCTTCCAGGCGAGCCTCCTCTGTTTGGCGCAGACGAGTGGAAAGAGACTGGAGCCCCGTCTTGTAACCCCTTAGTCGCCTGCTCATCTCCATCTGGAAGGTGAGGTTCTGCAAGAACAAAAGAGGTCAGATAAAGAAGAAGAAAAGGACAAAAAAGGACGACAAGTCAGAAACACTTATGCGGTACGATTGGCGAAGCGAGGCCTCGAGGATGTACTCGTCCAGCATTGCGCCGGTCATCTCCACGTCCTTAGGCAGAAGGACGTGGTCGGCCCAGGAATGGACGGAAGAGTTGCCTTGCCAGATTTGGGCGTCCTCGTCCAGCTCGATGCCCAACCGGATCCTCTTTGGAGCCGGCGCGTCCGATTGCTCGACCGAGCGCTTAGAGCTTGGGTTCTCGGACGGAGGAAGAGGCGGCGCTCGGGAAGGCGAGGTGACGGGCGATGGCGTCAGGTCCACCACGGTACGTGGTGGTGGAGGAGTCGACCTCGAGGCTGGAGAAGCGAAAGACGAAGAAGCAGCAGCGGCGCCCGAGGCGCGTTGAGACAGTCGGCGCCTCATTTTCTCAGCCCTGTCAGCCATCTCCGGAGTGGGAGTCTCGGCTTCATCGGAGCTGGTGGAGTCGGAGTCGTAAGGACCTGCAAAGGAAGATATTAGTGTTAGCAGTCGGACAAAGAAAGAGAAAGAAAAAGAAGGACATGAGAGAACTACCTAGGGTGGCCGCGCCGTCGGGCAGAAAGCCTCGTTTCGCCATGGCTCGGACCCGAGACCAGTACTTGACAGAGTACGGCCCAAAGCCCCTCAAGAACTCGCCACCCTGGATCGCATCTTGGGTGAAGACGGTGCGCCGGGAGCAAGGCTTGAACAGAGCGGCCGGCCACAAGGTCGGAAAGGCGAAGGAAGAGAAAGAAGGACGAACGAAAAAATAATAGGGATTCCAGTCCTTAATGGAGTCGGAAAGCTCCTCGAAGAGTTGTCGCCCAGGACGGGCGGCGACTTGAACGAAGCCGGCGAATGTGAGCCGACCTTATTCACGGTGAACAAATACCGGAAGAGGTCTAAATCCGGCTCACGAAGCCACCAATGGCAGAGGTTGATAAAGCAGGTGAGAAGGCGGTGAGAGTTGGGTACCAACTGACCCAGAACGAGGTTATAATGACGAAGGAAGAGGGAGAGAAATGGACACGGAGGCACCCGGAAGCCAAAAGAAACCGAGTGTAAATGAATGCCCACACAGCCCTCCGGCGGGTCATAAATATGCCGGTTTTTCGGGGCAAAAACGAGGGCAGAAGGCCCGAGAAGGTAGCGGGCCATTTCTAGGTCCGCCGCTGAGATTTGCGATGGACGCCCCTCCGGTCGAACGATGGAGTCGAACTTGCCTCGCGGCCGTCCGGCACCATCCGGAAGAGCCGCCACCATCGTGAGAGGTGCCGGACTCAAAGGAGTCACCGCCCCCGAAGAAGAGGGGGTCGGTTGGGAAGAAGACGCCGGTGAGAGATCAAGCGGAATCTCCATACGGCGAGGACTGGAAGTAGAAGAAGAAGAAGTAGAAGTTGATGCAGGGTTCCCCGTCGAGCGACGGGAAGAAGAAGAAGAAGAAGAAGAAGAAGAAGAATCAGAGGAGGAAGACATTACCAACCTGAGAAATGCTAAGCGGAGGAAGAGGGCAAAGGCTCGGACTGAGTTCTTTTTTCAGAGAAATTTGGAGAAAGTGAAAGAAGAGGGAAGAAGACGGGTATTTAAAGGGAGTGAGAATCCCAAAGGGCGGCCACATGTCACCCTCTCATTGTGTAAGAGAAGGGTGACAAGAGGTGAAAGGACGCCGCATTTAATGCCTGGGAAAGCGAAACGACAGTTCAGGCCTAGGGACAGCCTGCAAACGGCGCGTCTACCCTAGGCTAGAACCGGGTTGCTGTGACCCGGCCTGCTAGCCGGAGGCCCATCATAGGCCTTGGCTTCTGGGCCCACTGGGTGTGGACACGAAGCTTCCAGAAGGGGCCCAGCAAAACCCGGCCCGTTTTAGCTTTGTTAGCACAGGCAACGTTTGTAAAAAGACCCAAGCCTAGGAGTCGGACGATTGGGCTGGGTGACTCCTAAAACATGGACCAGGAGCCGACCAATGAACAATACGGAGATAAAGGAAAAATGCTACAAGCAAACAAAGGACAAACAGTTTATTCGAAAAACATCAAGGCTTGGGACTCGGCCAAGTACAGAGTACAAAAGGGGCCTAGAACTCGGCCAAATATGAGACGCGAAGGAAAAGACGGATCACGGCTTGGCTCCCTCCTCCGACGGCTGAGTAGGTGGAGTACCCTCTAGGAAGTACTGAGGGAGGAAGGGCGGAGGACTCGGCTCAGGCTCCGGCGACTCGTCCAGATACACGGCCGGCTTCCCGTCGTCAATCATCTGCAAGGGCCTCTCCAATGCACTCGGAGACATAGCCACGCCAAAAAGAGGAGGAACCTCCCATACCTCCTCCTCCTCCGGGCCCGGATCGTTCACCACTGGTTCCACCTTACCATCAGCCGGTTCCGCGGGGGCCAAGTCCAGCATATCCGGAGACACCACGATAGGATCAGAACTTGAGTCGCCCACTAGATGTCCACCATTGGCCAGCCTTTTTCGCCTTAGCTCTTCCAGGCGAGCGTGCTCCTTTTTGCGAATGGAGAAGCGACGATCGCCGACTCTGTAACTCATGATCAAGAGTCTGTGGGCAGAGGTGGTATGAATCACCAGCATAAGGGGCCTTTATATAGCCTCAGGGGGGTGAGTATCTAGGCGGAAATCACGGAGCTAACAGTAAACTGCCATGATCAGGCCGGATTGGACGAAGGACAGGGATTTGTGTCAGGGGGTAGTTCCATTAAATCCGCTTGAAAAGAGTGATATTCGCACGATTGAGCTGAAAAAGGTAGATTCACCCAAGATATGGGGAATATTTGCAGGCGTCAAACTGAAAAGGGGCTGACAACATGGCCGACTCTCGGACCCATCAGCTGGGAGAATAGAATGAGTATCAGGAAAAGAATTAAGAAATAAACACCCTCCCAGAGGGAAACGTGATCTTATTATAAGAGGGGAACACACAAGATAAGGAGCTTATTACATCGCAAATAAATAAAAATGCTCATATGCATCACCCACTCGGCAACGCGGAAACCAAACTCGAACGAGGCCCATCACTCGCCGGGTGAAGAAGAATCACTCCCAAAGAACGTCTCCCCGGGCAGTCTAGTGGGAGACGGACAAAAGGTATCCCAGAAAGCTGGCATGATTGGCGGCACCACCGGCTCCTCGTCATCCGGATACAGTTCCAAGTATCGAGCGAAGTCGGCATCATTCATCAGGCCAGTGGCCGGCCCATCCAGGTCATCAAGTGGAATGGAGAAGGTCATACGAAAGGTCAGCTGCTCAGGGACGGCCACCTCCACGAAAGATCCGTCCTGAGCAGTCACCCTGGCAGTACTCGAAGGCGGCGGATTGAGTGAAGTCGGAACATTCTCCGTGCGAATCGGGGTTGGCGGCTGTTGAACAGAGGAAGTAGCACCGGAGGGAGACCACTGGGAGGACGACCGAGGAGCCTTCTTCTTATTCTCCCTCTCAGGTCGAGTCCGCTTGGAAGGTAGAGGGCGTCGAGGAAACCCAAAGTCGATCCGCTTTCCCTTCAAAGGCGAGCGACCCATGGTTGGTCAAGTGAGGAGAGATGTAGAAGACAAGAGGCTATTTAAAGGATCCATGCGGAGCATGGAGAATCCAAACGGCTCCGCTGAATCCGGGATGATAGCAGAGGATCCGGACGTTATGAGGTCTCTTTAAAGGCGGGATCCGATGGATGAAGGAATTGACGGTTACTACTTTCTCAAACCCGGATTAGCGGCCCGGGTATGAGAAAGTGAGGGACTAGTTTATGGGGTGAGGACCCCGGCCCAAGAAGAGGGGCCCACGAGAGAGGAGCCCAAGAAGAGGGGCCCAAGAAGAGGAAAAACCCAAGATAGAAGACAAGGGTCAGTAAAAGAAGAAGCCCGATGAGGGCCTGGGCCGAGTCCAGGAGTCGGTCCGGGCCCAAGTAAAGGAGGAGACTCGGCCCAGAGGCCAGTAAGAAGCCTTCAAGTCGGTTTAAGAGCCGTTGAAAGAACACTCAATACAGCATTCAAGAGGACTCGGTCAAAAGGGCCGTTAAAAGACCACAGAGCCATTGGGCGACTCGGTAACAGCGACCGAACGGTCTGATAGTATAGATAGCCTTAAAAGCAATGATTAATGTACTTCAATTCGAATGAAAGGGAGCCTGCTATATAAAGGCCCCCTCCACACTTGCAAAAGGGGAGTCCATGCCTAGAGAGTAAGATACACCCACACTTTCTAATCCTTCGACTACTCATCTTTGCGATCACTTTTTTGAAATGTGAATCCACCAACCAAAGGTTGTGTTGGACTTCATTGGGCCCGAAAACCCAAAAACGAACAGGGAGAAAAATAACCACTTGAATATAGTTTAGGGAGAAAAAGTGCTGTAAGTATATAATTCAGGAGAAAAAGTGCTATTTTCCCTTTTTATTTTGATGAAACCCATTTATTTATTTTTTATCTTATTTTCAGTTTTTAGAGAGTTTTAGAATTATTATTATTTTTTCAAAAATTCTCAACCAATAAACTGATAAAGTCTAGAACTCTGTAACCTGTAGACTGCACAGCTAGCTCCCAATGAGGTGATTAAAATAAAGAATTGGGACAAAAAAAAAAAAAAAAAAAAAAAGATTGCTTGAGCCACTGAAAGTCTGCAGCTATTGGCGGGTGGCATTTTCGTGATAATATGGAATCTCAGAGGCATATCCACAAGTGCTTCGATATTTACACCCAAAATTGACGTCTCTGACTCGCCCTTGTCTCATCCTGGCCCAATTCGCACTCTACGTCCGTCTGGAAAAGAAACACACCGTTCTCCAATCTGCGCCGTACATACCTCGTCCGCGTCATCGATCCGTGGCTTGCAGATCCAACGGCGAAATATCGCTTCATAACAAAACAACCAAAATCTCCCGACCCTGACTTGACTCGACTCGAGTTGCCCCTCTCGACTCGCCTCCACAATATCTAGAGTGAGAAAGGGGAGCGTTTTGGAGAGAGAAATAGAGAGAAAAAGAGAGAGAGAGATTAGGTTTTCTTCGTGCTCATTACCATTGCAGAAAACACCTCATATTTTAGGGTTTTTTTTTTTATCGTGTATCCATAAACTGCGATTTCTAAATATTCACTTGATTTTGTTTTGGGTTATGTTTTGACTGATCAAAGTTTTGGCTTCAATTGATGGATGAGATTTGGGAAAGAGCGGTGGAGACAGCTCTGGACGGCCAAACGGACTTCGCTTCGGTTCGAACATTAACTCTAGACGGAGCTGTGAAGTGCGTTCATGGTCGCTTGCCTCCGCCGGCCCTGTTCGAGAGGTTTCAGAACCTTCAGCACCTATCCATAGCAAACATCGGTGTTTCGTCCCTGGAACAGTTTCCCCGGCTTCATAACCTGCAAAAGTTAATTTTATCAGATAATAGAATCGCTGCGGGGCTAGAATTCCTCGTAGAGGCTGGTTTAAACTCTCTTCGGGACCTCGATTTGTCGAACAACAGGATTCAGGATATAGATGATCTTCGGCCGCTAGCAGAGCTCAAACTGGTCTCGCTTGATCTGTATGAGTGTCCGGTGACAAGGGTTAAGGATTATCGATCTAGGGTTTTTGGATTGATTAAGTCGTTAAAGTACCTGGATAAGATGGATGCGGAGGAAAATGAGAGGCCGGAGTCAGATGATGAGGAGGAGGAGGACGAGGATGAAGAGGAGGAGGATGATGATCCAGGGAGTGGGGAAGTTGACGGTGAAGATAGGCCTTACAGGGTGAGCAACGGGCACAAAGCTGGGAGTGATGGGGTGCTTGATGTGGATGAGGATGAGAGTGATGCTGATGAGGAAGAGGCAGAAACTTCCAGAGGGGGAGCTAGTGGAGTGAAGCAAGCTAATTCACATAAGCAGTCCAATGGTTTTAGAATAGCAGCAGCTGGTGATGATGACGAGGAGGATGATAACGATGAAGATAATGATTCAGCTGAGGAAATAGATGAAGATGATGGGGATGATGATGAAGACGATGTGGTAGAGGTTCATGAGATTGATGACACTGATGAGGACGAGGATGGGGTGGAAGATGATGATGAAGATGATGACGATGATGAGGATGAGGAGGAAGTGGATAATGATGACGGTGAGCCAGAAAGTACTGGGAGGCTGGCTAGCACAGAAGGGGAAATTGATGGACATGAGCAAGGGGAAGATGAAGATGACGAGGATGATAATGGAGAGACTGGTGAGGAAGAGCAGGGAGTGGAGGATGATCATGATGGTGAATTTGATGACGATGAGGATGCTGAGGATGAGGTGATGATCTCTTTGCCATGTTTATAGCTGAATTTATTGTTTTTTTTAAATGATATTGGCATCATAACAAATTGTTTGGTATCTTGTTTGTGCTATAGCCTTTCTTTCAATGCTTTTAGATAGATTTTGATAAATTACACACACCTGCACTTTCCTTTGTGTCTAATAGGTTAAGTAGACATCATATTCACTTCCTATCATAATTTAGATGTTTTATGTTGATTATTTGTTTAAATTAAATGAAAGTAGCAACAGTGCTGTCAAATGGTTAGGAAAGAACTTGCAAATGGTTCTCATATTGATTTATCTTAGTTGTGAATTTAGAATCCTCCTAGTCCTAGTGTATAAAGCGTCATGCTAGAAGTATAATGACTGCTGAATCATTTTTTGCCTAATTAATGTTCTAATGCCTAATACACTTTTCTGGTAGCACCTAATTGTATGGGTTTATTTTTATTTTGGTCAATTTGCAACCCCCTGTAAAAAGAGTAAAATAACATTTTAGAGATTTAAGTAACTATATATTTATTGTAGTATGGGCATAGATTATCTATGCTCTATATTTGCCTGTATAATTTATTAATTAATATAAGCAGCTTTTGACTGTAGCAGGTGAAATCTGTGCTAATAATAGTTTTTGACTGCTGTATTTAGCAATATAAAATGAATATGGACTAATTTGACTTTTTTTCCGCAGAAAGTTTAGGATTTTTGAATGAACTGATATGTCTTCTTTTTGCTCTCTCTCAAAGCTGTGTTGTTATACCAACTTGTTTGTATGTTACAGTATTCTCTTTGGCCTCTTTTACGTGTTAACTTTAGACGTTTCAACCATCCTCTCAAAACAGAAAACTCTCATTGGATGCTATTTTTGTTTTTGTTGTTTACTCTGTATTAATTATTGATGATGGAAAGTATTGTTGAGTTAACCTGGAGCAGTTGTTGTGAGTTGTGACCATGGCTTTGTGTTATAATTAGTTAATTTGTAATTTTTAAAGCAATAAGGAGCACCCCAGGTGTAACTGGCCTGAACCTCATCTTGTGAAAGTGAATTATCCCTAAATTGTTTGAGGATATAGTGATGAAATTAGCTTCATCTGATTTTCTTACTTTCTGTTATTTTTGAGACAATCCATGCAAACTGATCTATAGTAGTATCCTACCTTGCAACTCTGAAAGAATATTTCTTGAAAATTTTAAAATTTTGGTTAAACCAGTATTTCTCATGTTTTGTTTCTAGTCACTTTTTCATTGGTTCTTCTCTTGTGGGTATAGGTAGGAGTGTGATTTTAGTGAGATGATATTTAAGGTTTATGAATGCTTGCTTTTAAGTTGTATATATGTTCCTTTGCTACATGATGATGAGAGGAAGGAAGAGAGCAAGGGAGTTCTTTTTGTGTTAAAAATTCAACATGCTAACTTTCCCCTTTCCTATTTGGGTGGTTGTTTTTGCCTTTTAATTGAATGGCAATGTGCAATATTTTATTAATATAATGTTATTATTGTTGAGTTGGCAGGAAGAAGATAATGATGCTGGATATCTGGTTCAACCTGTTGGACAGGTGGAGGTAGATGCTGGAGGCAGTGATATGGAGGCTGCAAATGGAGACGAGGATCATGAGTTGGATGGAGGAGTGGAGGATGATGATGATGATGATGATGGTGAAGTTCAGGAAGTGCCACCATCCGTATCTAAGAAGAGGAAGAGAGATGGAGATGAAGATGATGGCAGTGATGATGAGGAAGATGACAATGCTGTAGACTATGGGAAGTCATCAAAGCGGCGTTAGTTAAAAAGAATGGTGGGTATTCATAATCAATCAATCAATCTTAAGACTTGCAGGAACAGTTTAGATTAGTCTTTGTTTTGTGGAGGACTGGGTAGAGTTTACTGCCTGCCACCAGTCTGTCGAACATATTTTGGAGGGAAATTGTGTCATGGATGATGGTTATACTATATTCAAAAGGTCGTTGATGATATATTTCCCGCTGTCATCCTTGAAATGGCCGTTGTGTTATTTTGTTCAAATGGAAGTTGGGAGCTTCTTCAACCCACTTGGTTTCAAAGCGGGAACTTGAATTTCATGGGTGAGGTGGTTGGGTTGGGTTAGGGTTTGGAAGTAGACAAGGAAACCCTCCTATCATTTATCATCCTCGCAATGATGTAGCAGAACATACGTACTACTAGTAGTAGGCTAGAATTTCTTTTTTCGGTACAATAGAAAAAAATTTTAAAAAAAGAAAAGAAAAAGAGATGGGATTCCTTCAGGTGGGGGTGAATAAAAAATATGTAAACTAATCTTTTGAAGTGTAATCCACGAATTTTACTCGGCAGTAGCAGTAATAGGCTAGAATTATCTCATTGTCAGCGAATGTTAACTTTTTTTTTTTTTTTTTTTTTTTCATTTTAAAAATCCAACTTGCTTTTAAATTTTTTTATTTATTTATCTTGACGTGTTTAGATTAGACTTCACATGTGCATTGTACGATTTGTTTTGTTGGAGGGCTATCCGGCACCGTTTTGATCAAAGAAGGCTTTGGGCACGTGCAAATGTCATTAACGTCAATAGCTAATAATTTTTTGACGCTTTGCAGGTAGTGCCAGATGGCAGTGGTGCCGTGCTTGCAAGAAAGATTCTTCTACTAGTAGGAGGTGTGAAAAGACAATTTGCAGTAACTTGTCAAACAAACCAGAAAAGAAAGGAAGACCAGATATTCGCGAGAGTCATTACCCAAGGTGCATTAATCTTGGGCCTTGTGTCTGGACCGGTGGGCTTTGGTGAACCACTTGTATATAAAAATTAATGGGCTTTTGACCCAGGTACATATTGGGCCGCCACGTGTGTGGAAGCGACAGCTTGACTTGTGGACAGCGGACAACTCAACTCACTCATTCATGAGTCATCATGCCCTTTCATTTTATATTCGCCATCGCCGAAGCTGGGCCGTCTTCTTCAATCCTCAATTGCTAGTACTACAGTAGAAGAGAGTAAGAAAGATGTTGCAGCTCCTCTCTCCATCATCCTCAAAATGGCTTCTTCCACCGCCCAACTTCTACCCTACCACAACCGCCACGTTTAAGGTAAGAGCAATGGCAAACCAGCGCAGCGAAAGCGACGGAGGAGGAATAGCAGAGAAACTGGCCATTGTCGGTGGATTGGTCTCCACGCCGGTGATCGGATGGTCACTCTACACCCTCAAAACCACCGGTTGCGGCCTCCCACCGGGACCAGGCGGCTCCATTGGCGCACTTGAAGGCGTGAGTTACTTGGTGGTGGCGGCGATTGTGGGCTGGTCATTATACACCAAGAACAAAACCGGTTCGGGTTTGCCCAGTGGACCATTCGGCTTGTTGGGAGCTGTTGAAGGCTTGTCGTATTTGTGTTTGCTGGCCATTATCGCTGTGTTCGGGTTACAGTTCCTTGACAAAGGTTCCATTCCTGGGCCTCTTCCCAGCGATCAGTGCTTCGGCTAATTAAGTTTAAGTTCAAGCTTTAGCTGCAGCTTCATCTTTGTTTCCAATTTTTGTTTTTAATGAATAATGAAATTATGTGTTATAGATAGGTTGATGCTTTTTATCCAATATCTGTGGCCTGCCTTCATTCATCATCTTCAACTAATATCCCATCCCATCCCATCTCCTAATGTATTGTGTACTCACATTTGTTTCTTTTTAATACACTTCGTTTCGGTTTTAGACTTTTATGGTGCATTCTTTCCGTGAAAAATAATTAAAAATGAATTAAATCTAAATTTTAATGAAAATAAAATTACTTGGAACTAGGTTCTGTAGGGAACAGAGCTTTCAGCTCGTGTTTGGGTTAGTAAGTGTTCGTTTATTAAGATAAACGAGCCTAAATAAATTTTTGTAATTTTAATTACAAATCAAATCAACATAATTATTAAATTGAATAAATACCAGCAGACATCCTCTGACTTTGGTGACACTATCATTTTTAGCCCTCTACTTTTAAATTTATGACCATTAATCCGCTTAGTTTTGATTTCATTTATTATGGGGTCCTTCCGTTAGAATATGCCGTGTAACCCCGTTATGTCAAGGATACAATTGTCTTTTTACCATTGTAGAAAATTGAAATTATTACTTTGTTTTCGATATTGTATATACGGGGTACAATACGTGTACACGTAAAGGTTGAGACTCGGGTTCCTAATGAAGGGTTGAGAGGTTCCGGTCTTGCCTCGTTCCAAAAGTCCCCTTCAAGCTGCATTTAATACGCTTTATATATAGAGGGTGAGAGAAGGCATCTCCAGGTTCCCGGCAAGGCGGGCACGTGGCGGGCATGCACCGGTCCCTGGCGGGGCCGAATGTCTAGCTGCCACGCGGCGATCAAAGCCTGACCCTTCCTGGGTTCAAGGACCATGTACCAGATCGGGCCCGACCGACAAGAGCGGGCCGGTCGGTTTAGTAGCGATCCATGCCAGGGAAGGGACACGGTCGGGACAAGCACCTTCAGTCGGTCGGTCGGGCCAACTTGCGGGATAGCGTGGCATGCCCGTTTCAGCCGAGGTCAGATGTACGGGTGGTTACCGGTTGTAGAGCACGGATCCTAGGGGTATATCCCTATCACATAGCCCTCTGGCTCGCGAGTCGGACGATAGTTAAGAAGAGGAGCCCTAGCCACGCTTAGGGTTGATTTCCCAGAGCTAGGCTCGTGTGCATTGTGGTGCACGCTGCGCCCTCGATCGCGGACCGTCCGCAGGTGGCGAGAGACACGCGTCGCTTCGGGAGTGTTATCGAGATCTGGACCCGAAACATGGCATTGGAGCGTTTTTCCGACAACACTAACCCCTATAAATAGAAGCGAGGTTGGGGTCCCACTATGCTCTCAGTTCTCCTAGATGACGACCGGACGTTCTCGAGCGACCACAAACGATTCTCTAAGGCATTTGCTAAGTACTGTCAATCGGTACGTGATTCTCCTTTTATGCTTTCTTTAAATCTCTAAGATAGATTTAGGTTCTTAGGACCCGGTCAATCCTGACCCGTGTGTTCAAGTGGGGCATCATCATTGAAAAACCTCCCCCCTTAATCTTTTAGGGGCGAGATCATGACGAGCTCCGACAGCCAAAATCGTTCGATCCGAGATTACGGGAGTGACAGCGACGACGAGTCGGAAAGGACGGAAACCGAGCGGTCCACGTCCAGGCGATCGAACACGGCACAGAGCGACGGTGCTCGCACCCACCAGTCCGGCAGTGACAATGACCGCGCGTCCGAACGATCGGGGAGCCACAACACGGCAAGCGGGGGAGCCCGCGTAATCGAACACGACGACGAGGTCGACCAGGCGTCTCCAAGGTCGGGTGAACGCGGAGATCGTCCCAGCGGCAGTGGGACATTAACGGGGGCGATGGAAGCGGGTACAGCCGGGACCTCCGGTCGGGATCCCCCCGGTATATGGGAACCAAGGTCGCGGGTTGCAGCCTCACGCTATGGTAGTCGCCCTCGACCCCTCGCTTTCCCTGCGTCGGCGGCCCGCTTCGCCGACGACCTTCTAAATAAGAAGAGAATCTTGTTGAGCAGCTCGTCCGCCAAACGGCATCGAAGCCTCTTGAGAAAGAAGGAAGCGGAGGACGCAGCCGCTCTCCTGGTCGGTCGAGTCCTTTTCAGTACACGTAGGTCCCGGGGAACCATTAAAGATCGCACCCAAGGACTATGGCTTGGGATGCACTTGGATTCCCTGAAGACCCCTTTAACCCTATCTCTTCAGCCCGTTCCTCCTCGCCTTCCTCGGCTACTACGGCGTGTTACCGGGTCAGATCTGCCCCAACGCGCATCGGATCATAGCGTGTTTCCCGCAAATTTGCGCTTGACACGGTCTCGTCAGCTCAATGGAGTTGTTCAACTTCTTACACTCGGTTCACCCGCTCGCGGCTAGATACGGATGGGGATTCTTGGTGGCCCAGTCTCGAAGTCATCATTGCAACATCCTGCATCTACCAGATAACAACCCGGGATGAAAGAACCGGACTGTCTCCATCGAATACCCCTGGCAGCTCCCGGTTAAGAGGGCTTGGTCACTCCACTTCACCGTGTGCAAGTAGCCTGAACCGACCGAGGCCTTGCAATCGGCGACCGCGAAGATCTCGTCAAAGTTTTACGAGTTTCGGATCTTTCGGTCGGCTACCGAGTACGAGAGCGCTCGTCTAGAGCCGCCTCGGTATGACTTACCAGAGAAGTACACCCCTCGGTGAGCCGACGTGACGATTGCCATGCAACCGGCTGCACCCGCCTCCGAAGGAGAAGGTCTGTCGCGCAACGCCTACTTTCCCCGGGTGCGCATGCGAATGGCTCTCTTTCCTTTTTTCTCACCCTCTAACCGATTGTCTTTTTGCTTTCTACAGGTATGAAGCCCGGTCGAGGTTTCCAAACCGCGCCCTCCACAGTCAAGGCCCCGCGGCCGAAAAGCGGCCCTGGGCGGGAAGAAGATGGTAGCGTCCGATCCGTCTCCGGCCGCGGCGTCAGTTCCCTCGATCCCGACAGCCCTGCCGCTGGAGACGACCGCCCGGGGCCACTAGCAAGCGAGGCAAAGAGAATGTCGGCGAGTCCGAGGGAGTCGTCTAGCGGGCCCGCCGACAAAGTCCTCCCAGCTTAACCCCCCTGATGAACTCCTTGACGGGCGGCGATCTTCCTGGCAATCCACTTGCGAAGATGAGCGCCACTTTCCCGGCGGAGGACGACATGGCCGGGTGGACTCCAGAGCAAGTCTCCGAACGGGGAGCTCAAAACCTTGTGCGGGTAAGTGCTTTTCCCGATCTTTAGGACTATTTTACCGTTGGCACGTGGCTGATTCTAGTTTCTTGCAGTTGACCTGAGTGCTGACCTCGCTCTACTACTGGTCTAAGGGCGGAGCGGAGACCGATTCCTTAAAGAAGGAGGTGAAGGAGCTGCGGAAAAAGCTTAAGTCCGTTGAGGATAGCAAGGCGATCGCCGAGACCATCGCCAAAAAGGCCATCGGGGAGACCGCCTCGGCCAAGAAAGAGGCTGAAGACCTTTGATCGCAGCTGCAAGACCCAGCCGGTTTAACCACCTTCCTCTGTCGGGACCTAACATCCGCCGAACAGTTCTTCAAGGCCTTCGTAAAGCACAAAGTGGTCGAGTACATGATGTGGGTGTTCCGAAATTGGGCGTACGCGTCCGGGCAAAGGGACACGCATCGAGAGATAGGATCGGTCATCTCCGAAGTCTTTGAGGGTGATGATCTCTAGACAATCTTGTCGAATCTCCCGGAGAGCGTCACCGATGCCGTATGCCGAGGCGGAGGCAATTGAGCAGTCTACTGCTGCTGCCGAGAAAAATGACGAGGTCGAAAAGGGGCGCACCGGTTAGGGTGTCGTCCGTCGGGGGTTTTTGTTTGGGAGCCTGGACCCAAATGTACCGGGCACTAACTCTGTGAGACTTTAATGATATTCCGCTTTTTTGCCTAAGTTTTTGTGTTCAGTTTTGATCGTTTGAGCATTAATACAAATTTCACTTAGGTTTGGTCCTTTAACCGCCCGGTTGTTTAGGCATAAGTAATACTGTTCCGGTGTTTGGTTCGTTTGGGTGTGGTGCGATTGTTGTGGCACCGTGGAGACGACCGTCCGATCTAGCCCCCATAGTCCAAGCGTTTCGGTGGTGAAGCAGAGACCAAGGGTCGGGCTATTCTGACCGTTTGGTGTGATCGTCTCAACTCTTAAACATATGGAGCAAGTTTTTGGCACTTGGTGATTTCGCTTTAGATTTTCTATGCTCGGTTTAGCGGAGCGTCTACTGAACACACGGCACAAGTTTCGGCACTCAGTGAAACGCGTGTCTAGCCCCCTGAGGCCGAGCGCTAGGGAGATCGGTCAGTTAGATTGGACATTGATTTCTGGAAAGAAAACGCATGTCTAGCCCCCCTCCCCCCCCCCCCCCGCGCTAAGACGATTGGTCGATTAGGGGTTGGACTAGATTGGACGCTGATTTCTGGAAAGAAAACGCATGTCTAGCCCCCCAAGGCCGAGCGCTAAGACAAACGGTTGATTAGGGGTCAGACTAGATTGGACGCTGATTTCTGGAAAGAAAACGCGTGTCTAGCCCCCCAAGGCCCAGGGGTCGGACTAGATTGGACGCTGATTTCTGGAAAGAAAATGCATGTCTACCCCCCCAAGGCCGAGGGCTAAGAAGATCGGTCGATTAGGGGTCGAACTAGATTGGACGTTGATTTCTGGAAAGAAAACGCCTGTCTAGCCCCCCAAGGACGAGCACTAAGACGATCGGTCGATTAAGGGTCGGACTAGATTGGACGCTGATTTTTGGAAAGAAAACGCGTGTCTAGCCCCCCAAGGCCGAACGCTAAGACGGTCGGTCAATTAGGGGTCGGACTAGATTGGACGCTGATTTCTGGAAAGAAAACGCGTGTTTAGCTCCCCAAGGCCGAGCGCTAAAACGGTTGATCGATTAGAAGCGCACAAGTTTGGCCATAAGTTTTAGCAATGTTGCGGTCGTTCGGGTGATAAGGCCATAAGTTTAAGCGACATTGTAGTCGTTCGGGCAACAAGGCCATAAGTTTAAGCGACATTGTAGTCGTTCGGGCAACAAGGCCGTAAGTTTAAGCGACATTGTGGTCGTTCGCTCCGTGGGTGCGTTGTTAACGCTACCGACGGGTGTATCGGGGTGATCTTGCTTTTGCGGTCGGGCTCGAGCATAGTCTG